CAAGGTCTCAAAACTGACTGGCCCTCCCGGGTCTCAAGGATGCCAGGCTGGCCATAACCAGGGCCAGGGCTTTCTCAGTGGGGGCTCTGTTCTGGTGGAATGAGTTCCCAGAAGAGATCAGGGCCCTGCAGGACCTTATGCAGTTCTGCAGGGCCTGCAAGACAGAGCTCTTCCACCAGGCTTTCAATTAAAGAGCTGCCCCCAACAGTTGAAGGATAGAGAACCCTGCCCCCTGGAGTCACCAACAACAGCCTGTGCTAGCCACATAGATCTTCAAATAATGTCTGCCATTGTTAAATAATGATTACTAGCATTTTATAATGTCAGTTGGTTTTAGAAGGTTTTAGGACTGTTTTAACTGTTAATGTGTCTTATTGTTATTTAAGCCACCCTAAGCCAGCCTTGGCTGGGAGGGTGGGGTATAAATTTGGTAGGTAGGTAGGTAGGTAGATAAAGCTCATCCAGCAGCTGCAAGTGGAGGAGTGGGGAATCAAACCCAGTTCTTCCAGATTAGAGTCTGCGCAGTTAACCACTACACCAAAGTGGAGGTGGAAGAAGAAAGCTGAAGTCAGAGGGGCAGATAAAGGTATGTTGATGGTTGGCTGGCTGGGAAGGAGATAGGGTTGCCACCTCTGGGTTGGGGAATTCCTGGAGATTTGAGGGGTGGAGCCTGGAGAGGGTGGGGTTTGAGGAGGGGTGGGATCTCAGACAGGTACAGTGTCATAGATGCCACTCTTCAAACCAGCCCTTTCCTCCTAAGGAACCATTGTTGCCAATCTCCAGGTGAGGGCTGGAGATCACTCAGAATTACAATTGCTCTCCAGATGGCAGTTCCCCTGAGAAAAACAGTGGATTCTGTGTCATTATACCCTGCTGAGGTCGCCACAGCAATTGATACTGAGTTCCAAAGGCTGGGGCACCCTCCCAGAGCCTCTTTCTAGAGCTCATTGTATTTATTTCCACAATGGACCTTATTCGTAGTATACAATCAGTGAAGGTATTGCACAGCATAACCAGTTTAAAACAGATGTAGAGTTCTCCAACAGACCTTTGATTATGGAATTTTCCATTGTTTTGAAGCTGATCAGCATATACTTCAACATTCAATGTACTAGTGTTACTTTTTAAAAAACTGAATTATATTTTGGTGATGATACTGAGGTAAATGTATTTTGAATTGTAGTAACTTACAAGGGGCGGACCCGCGATACTCATGGGGGGGGGAGGAAGCTCCTCCACCTCCCATCCACCCCCCTCGGCTCTCTTCCCCCCTCAGCTCTCTTCCCCCCCCGGCTCGGAAGCGAGGTCCGGGAGGCATCCATCTCCGCTCCTCCGTTCTTCCCTCACAACAACCCTGAGAGGTAGGCCGGGTTGAGCAAGAAAGTGTGTAACGCAGTACGGGCCGGTCCCGTGACGACAGGGAACCGACACCGCAACCTTCCCAGCAGCAGCAGCAAGCTGGGGCCACCCCCTCTCTGCCCATGCTCAGAGTCACGTTCGGTGTCCCCGGGCGGTTCCGGGACCGAGGCGCCGAGTCCCTTGCCCCTCCCCGAGCCCGCCCCTTCAGTCTCGACTTGAGCAGCAGGAGAGCGGCCGCTTTCGCTTTCTGCGCCTGGCCAGCGAGATGGGAGGGACGCATCACCGCTGCTCCTTGGAGCGCCTGTGCTCTGGCTGCTGCTGCTGGAGGTGAAGGTGGGTGAGCGTGAGAGCACCGCGGGGCCGGGAAATGGGCAGGGGGTGGGGCGTCTCTCGGAGCGGCTGTTCCCCCCCGCCCGGCTCCGAAGCGAGGTTCGGGAGGCTGCAGCCGCCTGGGCCTCACTGTTCCCCCGGCCGGCCGCCTGGCTCCGAGGCCACGGCGGCGGCGAGGGCGGCTGCAGAGCGTTTCCTGCGTATGCGCAGGAAACGCTCTGTCAGTTTTGGGGGGATTTAAATATCCCCCGATATTTTTTGGGGGGGTTAGATTTTTGTGCACACATGGGGACTGCCCCACGTGTGCACAAATCTCTCCCTGCCCCCCAAGTGCCCCTGAAGTGCGGGTTTAGATATCCGCACAGAGGGGGCCAGTTCACTATTAGATATATAGATTAAAAATTGAAATGTAATCCAGAAAAAGTATTAGTTTTTTTCAGCATTTTAGCGGTGTATCATAGCTTTAAAAAGTGGCAAATAAAGGGTGCTTTCCCAAGCAGTTTCTTCAAACTCTAGCAGAATACCAGTGAATCATCACTAAGGTTTCAGGATTTAAAAATACTATGAAGTGGAATGTCCTTTTGATACATGGTTCTGAGCTTGAAGTGATTAAGTGAGTTGTTCATTATTCCTATGAAAGAAGTAGGAGCCATTCAACACAGTGAAATACAAGATTTCCCCCCATCATTCTCAGCCTGCTGCCTTGATCAGCCGTGTCAACATCCACACAAAACTAGAATTTGTTAAAAGCTCTCTTTGGTTCATGAGAACTGGTTTCGGGGGTGGGGGGTAGTTCACCCTGGCTGGCAGCTTTGTATGCAAGCAGCTCAGAACCACTGCTGATTTGTCAGCAGTGAGGAGCTCACACTGATACCTCCACAGTGGGATGGATGAATAGTGGGGCTCTATAAGTGATGACTGTGATTTGTGCAATCTTACCTCCTTTGTTCTTCTAGTAGAATATCCAGCCAGGCAGCCATAATACTAGGCAGATACTACCTGATTTTTTTTTTTTTTGCTTGGAACATTTACTGTATACCTGAGGAAGAATCTTTTAGTTCAAAACATGGAGTGGTTTAAAAACCAATTAAGTGGTTCAGTAAGATTTGGGTTTTTATTCTTTTCCTTATTTTTCTCCCCAGAATCAAGAGTTATACTTCAGTGCATCTGCTACTTTGAAAAATGAGGATGCACATCACTGTTCCTGTCAGTGCTTCACTTTGTATTTATAAAAATTAAGATGTCTAAATTTAAGAGGAATGTTTCTGGGAGCTATATCGCACCCAGCATTTCTCTATTTATATGCATCTTTTCCTTAATAAGAATCAGTGATGCTTCAACAGGTTGAGGCGAATTAGTTCCTGATGGTTTCTTCACCATGGTCAGTAGGCTTACCACAGAGAAGAGCTCAGCCTGGTATATTAGGCTTTTGCCTAAAGCACACCTTTGTACCAGCAGTATGTCTTCCAGAAATACAAAAGAAATACTGAAGAATCTGTGGGTGTAGTGGTGCTAGCAGGTGCTGTCACATTAGATTGTTTCTTATTAAATTGATTCCACATCTGGAAGCCTGATTTTTTTCTGCTCCATAGCAGACACTTTTTGTGAAATAGGTGTAAAGTCTGGTCTAATTTCCTTTCCTTGAGGTATCTTTTTTTAAAAAAAGGAATGGCTGCCTGTTGTTTTTCTCAGGCACAGCCTGTGCCATTCATATAGGTCAAGTGAGAGAGATACCGTGTGCTGATTTTCTGTGTCAAAACTCCTTGGTCATCTGAAGTGAATTAAAGAGTATAATGTCTGTTTTTTTTAATTTTTAAAAATAACCATTTTCTCCCATTTGGTTTCTGGAAGCTTGTACAATGAATTCAATGGAACACATAATTTGCAACATTTTGGCATTATACTATTATTTAGATAAGCACAAAATATAACTCATTGACTCTCGATATGTATGTGAAAATAAGTGACTACTTGAACTTGGCCTCACACATACATTAGGGTAGTAAAACTGTACTTATTTTGTTTCTTTGCAACCACTTCTGTTGTCCTCATTGGTAATATTAGTCAAGGATTGCGCACCTGAAATTATTTGTCTTTATTTATCCCCTCTAGGTTTCTTCTCTTAAAGCTTCCAGGCTTAGGCTTGGAAAAACCAGCCATCACCATTGAGCCCAGCAGCTGGAGCGGCAGCGAGAGCCCTGCCGAGGACATTGAAAGAATGAGTGATTCTGCAGATAAACCAATTGACAATGATGCAGAAGGTGTCTGGAGCCCAGATATTGAACAGAGCTTTCAGGAGGCTCTAGCTATATATCCCCCTTGTGGGAGGAGGAAAATCATCTTATCCGATGAAGGGAAAATGTATGGTAAGTCATACAGTTGCTCACTAAGCATTGCATGAAGTCCCCTTTCCATACAAACAAAAGTGAAATTCTGGAAAGAATCCTCAGGACTGCTACTAATATAATCTTCCAGAAAGAAAGACCAATCAGTATAGGGGGGTGAATGGGAAGAAATGCAGTTGTGGTGGTTTGGCTTTTATGATAAGACTAACCTGATACCCGTGCTTCCCTACAGTATTTAAGTTCCATAAATCCAGTTATAATACCAATGATGTGAACTTTGTTGTAGGAATTCTAGTGGAGAAGATTGTGGTGTAAAAAATGAAGTGCAACATACATACTTTTTTTTTTCTCTACCGAAGGATCTCTCTGTAGACCACATTGGTGGTTCTGCCTTCAGGTGCTAGGATCACCGGGCTGCTTGATGAGCTCACTCTGGAGCACGCAACACAGAACTGTCCATTTAAGAAGCAGTCATATGTTAAGTCAATTCCTGCCACCTTCCACGAAAGTGATGGCCTCTCTACTTGTGTTCCTGGATTGTTGTTCTGAGCACCTCAGGGTGATCTTGCTGGTACTTGGCCTGCGCAGCTCAGTGCCCCACATGTGCAAATGTCTTTGCCGCATTCCTAAGTTGTCTCCTCCTGGCAGCTGCCTGTCCAGTGTAGGAGGGGGAGGGGGAGGAGTATTAGAACCCACTGTGGACGCAGGGCTGGCAGGATCACTAAGGCATTACTGCTGAGGCGGGTTCCCTCGTGGCTTTAAGCACCCTGCGACCGCTGACAGACAACCACCTGTTAGGTGTAGGAGGTGGGGGGGGAGTGTGTTGGAAGCCATCAGAGAGGCTGGGCCAGCAACATTACTGCACCTCACAGGTGGTTCTTGGCCATTCCTGATTTCCTCAACTGTCATTAGCTCTCTGCAGTCTCCTGTAACTGTTGGCTTTTTTTACCTCAGAACACTGAGTTCTGCAGCTGACCAATCAGAGAGTGGGGGTACAAGGAGGCAGCAGCCTAACAGCCGCATAGGAATCAATGGGGGGAGCACTTTTTACCCCTTTTGATCCCCTTAGGGGTCGAATGTGTAAAAATCCCTTCTTAGCAAGAATCTACGCCATGGTAGGAGCGCTCTCCCTGAATTTGATGTTTCTAGGTCCAGTGGTTTGGCATGGCCGTTGATTGTAGGGTGAGGGGACTTTCTTTTATATATATATATGTGTGTGTGTGTGTGTGTGTGTGTGTGTGTGTGTGTGTGTGTATAAGTGTAGCCGAAGTCCAGTTCTGTGCTGAAAAGAAACTCTTTATCAGGCAAAGTATGAAAAGAATAGAAGGTAGGTTACATCATTTTAAAAGCTTAAACTCCTGTGTATCATTTTCCTTTCCCCCCATTTCCCAGCATCTCAGTGACCAAACTGTAAAATGCAACTGAAGTTGTTAAGAGATTGTTGGAATTAGTAAAATTGCATTTTTTGGGTAATATTTTATAAAACACTTTGAGTCTGGGCAAGAAAGGTGGACTATAAATAAACTTTATATTGACGTCTTTGAATATTTTCAAACAGGATAGCGCAGATAAAACAAACATAAGAGATTAATACACAGTAGATATATGAAGCATTTTTAATGGCTGTTTGCAATATAAACCCAATTTGAACATGGCAATGCATTTTTAAGAGATCATGGGACAGACTACATAATGCTTTACTGCAAATGTTTTATTATGAAGTCCTGACGTCCACAACCTAATTTCAATAAGCAACTGCAAAGTTGTTTCTTCTAGCTTTGCCTGTTACAAATTACCAGATGTGGTGACAGCATTTAATAAATATATTTGATGTTTATCCAATCCAGATATAAGTTGTTTTTACTTTTTTGTTCTTTCCAAGTTGCTCCAGCTAATCTCTGACTGGGGAGACTTAAGCTGCCTTTCCCTTCCCCGTTTTCCTTTCGAAAAAAAATATTGCTGACTGTAGAGTTTTCATTCTGGCTTCTCACATTGTGGAAAGCAGATGGCAGGTTGTTGGTTTGCTCTTTATTCTTCCATAATCACTGAGTGTTTAGCAATTTTTTGGGGGGGGTCTTTTGTGCAGTAAGGCTTTCCAAGTGACCAGGAATCCTAACCTGATGGATCTCCCCCCCCCCAGCATTAGAGAACAACTTACTGCTGTACAACTGCAAATATGTTTTACACAATGGGGCGTTTTGTCTTGAAACACAGCCTCTTCCCCAGAAAGGATCAGTAGGAATCTGCGGAGCAAACTAGCATGCACTGTAAGTGGAAAGCAGATGGTACTGCAGCTGCCACCAGCTGTGTGCCCCCCCTCCTTCTCCCCCCTGTATTGGTTGGATGATGTAATGGAAACAAGGGAGAAAAAATTCTTTCTGTGGTGTTGGAGTCTCACACAGCTTGTCAGTGTCACAGAGAGGCAGAAACAGACCTTGAGGCGTAAGTTTGCAGCTGTCATGTGACCCTTGAAGCCAAATGAAATATAATGTCTGGAAAAATAGGCTTGTGATGAAGCATCCTCAGCTGCTTCTGGCAGAAACTTTCTTGGTCTTTCTTTTCCTGCTGGATTTTTTTTTTTTTTGGTCATTTCCCTCTCCCCTTAGTTCTCCTCTTCTGTCTATATTTGTATTTTTTGCTTTGATGATCTGTTGTCATGATGATTGTTTTATCATCATAAAATTAGAAGAATGTAGTTCAGTACAATTTTGTTCTCTACTGAAGAGTATATAACAAAGGTGTGCGCATATGTTTACAATATCAGCACTCAAAACAGGGTCCTTAAAAAAACCCCTCCCCCTCTGCATCTAATTTGCAGTCATACTTTCTTGTACATGGAAAACCTTTGAAATATAAATATATATGAAATATTTTAATGTATGGTACGGAGAGCATACAGTGTGTGTTTGCATAGTTTGTCTTAACAACTTTGATATCAAAATTACTTAATACTAAAGACAAAAGATTATAAAGTGGTAGAAGAGCCAGAATTTGAAAGGTTACAGTAAATATATCTACTGAATATATCTAGTGGGTATTTTTATTTCATTAGAATACAGAGCTACTCTGTTTTGATGTTTTTTTAAAAAGCATTTGTCATGTTGAGGTGACATTTTATGTCCTTTCAGTTAAATCTCAACATTGTAGCAGAATTTCATTATGAAAAAAGAAATCGCCTAGGGAAATGCAGGTGACTGTGTTGGTAGAATTTATATCCTGACTCTCCCTTATTGGATGAACTTGTGTTTTCATTCTTCAAGCTGAGCAACTTCTTTGTAGTGTTTGAGGATTCATTGAAACCATGCTATGTTTTTGAGGACTTTATAATAGAGTCTTATGGCCCTAATAGCATAATTGTTCTCCAAGGATTTTGAAATCAAAACACTGAAAGCGTTTTCGATACCGTGTGGCATAATGAAAAAGAATACTTTTTGGTGGCATATGGATTTTATTTGCTTATGACAGGGAGATTACTGTATTTCAAAGCAGCCACAGGATTTTGGAAGATGCCATAGTGTGGCGATGGTCCATGAGCCATCGAAAAAGTTCAGAGTAAGTACTGGATAATTTTCTGACTGAAATGGTCTTTAAACAAGTTGACACCTACCTGCAAAAAAAAATATTGTAGAATGGTTTCTGCTGAGGTGGTGGAGGAAGGTGTCAGTCAATTAATGGCCTTCTGCAGACTCTGTTAAAGTGGATGCTGACTGAACAGCTCCTTCAGGTAGCTGAAGGAGAGAAGAGCTTCCTTGGGGGTCTTTGAATCCTTCCTGGCATTGGCTCCTGAATTATATGACTCCTTCTCCATGTGTTGATATGTATGGCTGTCAACAGGGCTTTTTTGTAGAAAAAGCCCAGCAGGAACTCATTAGCATATTAGGCCACACCCCGACATCACAGTTCATTCGCATATTAGGCCACACACCGCATGTCTTCCCTTGGCTTGCCCGGGCAAGCTGGCCCTTAGACAAGCTGGGGAAGGCACGGGGAGGCATTTAAATGCCTCCCCGATCCTTCCAGGGGCCCCCCTGGCCCACCCGCCCACCTCGGAGTCACTGGGGGGGGTGTCCCTCTCCAGGCCTTCCCTCTGTAGCCAGACACACAGAGGTTTGGGCTGTAGTGGGTGTGGCAACTCTGAAGCCAGCTGGAACTCCGTTCCTGTGCGTTCCTGCCCCAAAATAGCCCTGCTTGTCAGATCCAGGCTGGGAAACTCCTAAAGAAAAAGAAGAAGAGATTGGATTTATACCCCGCCCTTCACTTGGAGTCTCAGAGCGGCTTACCAACTCCTTTCCCTTCCCCTCCCCACAACAGACACCCTGTGAGGTGGGTGGGGCTGACAGCTGTGTCAGAGCTTGCG